TGACTGTACAACAATTGTTTGAATTCCCACGCTAGGATCTCCTGGTCAATTCATCTGACAGAGCAAATAGGACAAGTCACACCTCTGGCCTACTTCACCTGTCATCACAATAAAATCCGACTTTGTCAATTCTTCTGCCAACACTTTCCGCTCACTGTGTCAATAGTGACCGTCGGACCTGCCGTCGAGTTAGGTAACCTCAGGGGGAATTAAACACAATTAGCCGGAGTTAGCTGCTCCTAAAAGTCTGGCTAGGAGATAAAATATCTGACACCAACAGATGGTGTGCAAATCTCCAGTCAGTAAGTCTGCTTGGTCAGTCTTATCTCTGTACGTTAACACTTAACATATGGGAAAGTGTCTTAGTGTTTGATATGACCAACAGTCCCGGAGAATTAAATGTTATATCTGGTCGTCTTTCTTCTGTAAGGATGTATCCAAATCCATATTTTTCTGCATACTTTCAAAATACAAAGAAATAAAAGTAGGTTGGGGAAAGACATTCTGGAGTCACCGAGCGTATTGTCACAAGGGGAACAATGGCGAATCTCTGACGCGTACACGACTGAGTGGACAGCAGCTTGGTGAAGCACATCTATGCCGTCTTCAAGGTAAAGACAGGAGATACTGTAACCCTCGTGGGAACAGTCAGCAAAGGTACTTTGGAGTGGCTGCTGTAACGGAGGACAGCACGCATGGGGATGTCCAATGCTGAAAGCCGTTGATTGTGATAACACAACATAAAACAGTAGACAGAATACGTTTACAGAAAGCTAAAGGACGAGTCAACGAGCGAACACACTACATTAAAGCATCCATTATCTAGGGGCATTGTTAGTCACATCTATGAAGAAGAAAGAAAGATTCCCGAGAAAAAGGAGAAAAAAAGATGGTTGAAGGAAAACATGCTTCACCTAGACCACAGTGGAGAGATCAAGCGGTCAAAGAAAACAGATGCTTCACCAAGACCACAGTGGAGAGATCAAGCGTGTCAAAGAAAACAGATGCTTCACCTTGACCACAGTGGAGAGATCAAGCGTGTCAAAGAAAACAGGTGCTTTATTTAGACCACAGTGGAGAGATCAAGAGTGTCAAAGAAAACAGATGCTTCACCTTGACCACAGTAGAGAGAACAAGCGTGTCAAAGAAAACAGATGCTTCACCTTGACCACAGTGGAGAGAACAAGCGTGTCAAAGAAAACAGATGCCTCACCTAGACCACAGTGGAGAGAACAAGCGTGTCAAAGAAAACAGATGCTTCACCTTGACCACAGTGGAGAGATCAAGCGTTTCAAAGAAAACAGGTGCTTCATCTAGACCACAGTGGAGAGATCAAGCGTGTCAAAGAAAACAGATGCTTCACCTAGACCACAGTGGAGAGATCAAGCGTGTCAAAGAAAACAGATGCTTCACCAAGACCACAGTGGAGAGATCAAGCGTGTCAAAGAAAACAGATGCTTCACCAAGACCACAGTGGAGAGATCAAGTGTGTCAAAGAAAACAGATGCTTCACCTTGACCACAGTGGAGAGATCAAGCGTGTCAAAGAAAACAGGTGCTTCATTTAGACCACAGTGGAGAGATCAAGCGTGTCAAAGAAAACAGATGCTTCACCTTGACCACAGTGGAGAGATCAAGCGTGTCAAAGAAAACAGGTGCTCCATTTAGACCACAGTGGAGAGATCAAGCGTGTCAAAGAAAACAGATGCTTCACCTAGACCACAGTGGAGAGATCAAACGTGTCAAACAATCAATCAGATGTCATTCCAATAATGTAAGCTCGCTTGCAACCGATCTTGCAAACATGCTATGTCTTTCGTCCTGGATATACCCGCTTCCAGACTAATGTTCGTCCATCTTGTCAAGTTTATCCTCCCACCTGTACACTGTCTGCCTTATGCTTGCTTGCCTTAACCTTTTCCCTCCAGTGTTGCTGTTTTTACACCAGCGTTAATGTATTTTAATATGGTCGAGGTATTTCATTTGTCTTTTTTTCCCTGCAGCAACTATCTTTATTTGTAGACTCTTCAGAACCCATGTATTTGATGCTATTGTGTCCATGAACTGCGACCTATTTTCTCACTGCTTGTTTATTGTTGGGGTCTCTGCGCCATCTAGCAGGGCTGAGTATACAAACGTGTCAGAACTATGCTGGTCTTTCACGAATCCGTGAGCGGCAAACAGCGAGATAGTGTCGTGTAAATGTCACGGCCGAGCGAGCTGGCGAGGAGAATGTTGCTGGTATGTGGGCTATGGCTAGATAGTGCACACAGCTATCTGCAGGCTCAGCCGCACATGTTGCAGTCGAAATAGCCCGAGTATCATCCCCGCGGTTGGGATGTGTGATTCTGTGATAATATCCACATGCACAAACAGAAGACGACTGAGTGGTTGGAAAACCAATCTGTTATCTAAAGGAATCGTTAGAACATTTGAGGCTTGCTCGTGTACACACTGTAGTCAAATTGTAGGCATAGCCTGCATCCTCCACCAGTCTCCAGAAGATGATATGTCAACGAGCGGTTGGGATTCTAGTCTCTCAAATTCAGTGATCAGAACGCTAGTGATGGGGACTCCAGGAATGCATTTATAAGCAGATATGATGGTCGCCATCTGACTGTGAGGCCCCCAGACCAGGCAGATCACAAACACGAACTCGGAAAGGAAAGACCTTAAGCCCGACGGGACTACAACGGCAAACTCTGTCACCGAACTAAATAAAACTAAATTTGGAAACAAGGTATGCGAGGAGCATGTATCAGGGAAAGCTTACCATCATTGGCTGGGCAGGGGCCGACCAACACGAAGATGGGCACAGGATATAAGTGACGCCTTGGATTTGAAAGTATGCGAGGTGGGACAGATGGCGAAAGACCGAGTTTCTTTCGCGAAGACAGTAATGAGAGCGACGTTAGGAAAAAGACGATGATGATGATGACGACGATGATGATAATGATGGACGTCATAAGATATTATACAGAAAAATGAGGTCGGAACCCTAGGGCTACCACCACATACACAATAAGGCAATAATATGAAATGGGTTCATTATATTTTTTCCCCAACAGCATCTTCTACATCCCCCAATATGCACCCCAAATAAAACTCTCTTTCCGCCTCTCTCTCTCTCTCTCTCTCTCTCTCTCTCTCTCTCTCTCTCTCTCTCTCTCACACACACACACACACACACACGCGCGCGCGCGAATACATACACGTTTCTCACCACTTTCATTTGTAACCCCACCTGCACAAGCTCGGCGATCTAAGGTCTGTGTGAAGTGGAACAGTTAGCTACTAAACCACAAACACTCACCCAGCTCCTTGCAGGTCTGCACTACGGCAGTGAAACACTTGATGGAGAAGTCCACTCGCAGCTCCAGCACCTGCAGGTCAGACAGCTGGACTTTGAGATTCTTGTGCATGGGTGTGAACTGCAGCTTGGCGTCTGCCTGGACATTGTACTGGTCCAGCGTTGAACGTGCTCGTAGTAGCCACTTGTTTCTCTCCGGCCACCACAGGGCATGGTCTGACCAGTCCAGTGCGATGTCTGAGGGACACAGAGAAATATTACTTAAGACTTTATAATAAACACGCAAATATGTATTGATCGGCACTCACAGAAAGAAGTGGAAAGATATAAGGACATACTAGAGAACATAGAAATTGAAAGCTGTAGTGTCCATGCCAGGAATCAAGCCGTTCACATCCAAATAACTACAGAAACATATAAGTAAACTAGGACGTATGACCAAACTAGACATCACCCCTTACCCTATCCCCTCTCCCGCCAAAGACAATGTGACTTTATTAGCCATGCCTATCTTATAAATATCTTGAATCCACAACTATGGAATACGGACAGAATTCGTCTCAAACCGCTGAAATGGCTCAAGCCACTGAAATGGCACCAAGGACACACAAATGTAAAGATGTGCCTGTCTCCAGTACGCAAATATCCCCAAGCACGCGTGATAAGGCGGCGTCCGTAGCTTCGGCGTTGCGAGTCTGACTCGTAATTCCAACGTACCGCGATCGAAACCCACTGCTGGATTTATATCATGGTATAGGGCGTCGCAGGTCGACTCAGCCTAAAATGGGTACCAGTATAGGCTGTCCTGGGAAAGTAAAGAAGGCCGGCGTAATGCTGACCACATTACCCACCTAATGCCGATGGTCTGAAAAAATATGGGCACTCTTCCCATACGCCCGATACGTATAAAGGCGTGAAAATAAATCTTTACTTTTTGGTGATACGGGAGCCGAGGTAGTAAAGCGGCTTAAAGCAACATGTCATTAAGCACGAATAACTAAGTGTAGAGAGTACTAGAAGTGTGGGTTGGAAGCTTATGCTCTGCCGCAGTAGTCTGCAACCTAGGAGCGTACCATGGGGGGGGGGGGTGTGGCTGTAAGGAATTTTTACCAGAGCTGTGGGGGAGTGTCAAGCAATTTTAAAATTAAGTTCGTTAGTTCTTGTAATAACCTGTTATACTAACTTTTTTTTCAGTTTAATAAATATATATATATTTTTTTCATTTAACACGAAAAGCCAATAACGTCTTTGTTTCATGGGCAGATTGTCAATACACCGTTAAAAATCTAATTAATAGTATAACATCTCAGTGTCCACCCTCGGTATCCTCTTTGTAATCATATTTGTTGTAAGTGGCCGGGAAATGGGGACGGGTAAAAATAATATCGATTTATAAATCATATATTCGGGAAAATGGGGGCGGGGGGGGGGGGGGTCATCTCATGAAAAGGTTGAAAATCATTGCTCTTTTGAGAGATAAAAAGGCTCAAGAAATCGGGAGTAATGGAACTGGACACCTTGACTGACACATGTGTGAAGTCACAGATCACCTGATTTCCCAGCCCAGTATGAAGTCTTTGGACCGTCCTAAACTTTACCTGATATACAGGCACGGTCATAGGGTTGGCCGCCCAGAGCGTCTAGATATAGATACAACACAGCACACGACAGTGTCCTATAAGATATAGATACAACACAGCACACAACAGTGTCCTATAAGATATAGATACAACACAGCACACAACAGTGTCCTACAAGATATAGATACAACACAGCACACAACAGTGTCCTATAAGATATAGATACAACACAGCACACAACAGTGTCCTATAAGATATAGATACAAGACAGCACACAACAGTGTCCTATAAGATATAGATACAACACAGCACACAACAGTGTCCTATAAGATATAGATACAAGACAGCACACAACAGTGTCCTACAAGATATAGATACAACACAGCACACAACAGTGTCCTATAAGATATAGATACAACACAGCACACGACAGTGTCCTATAAGATATAGATACAACACAGCACACAACAGTGTCCTATAAGATATAGATACAACACAGCACACAACAGTGTCCTATAAGATATAGATACAACACAGCACACGACAGTGTCCTACAAGATATAGATACAAGACAGCACACAACAGTGTCCTATAAGATATAGATACAACACAGCACACAACAGTGTCCTATAAGATATAGATACAACACAGCACACAAGAGTGTCCTATAAGATATAGATACAACACAACACACAACAGTGTCCTATAGGATATAGATACAAGACAGCACACAACAGTGTCCTATAAGATATAGATACAACACAGCACACAACAGTGTCCTATAAGATATAGATACAACACAGCACACAACAGTGTCCTACAAGATATAGATACAACACAGCACACAACAGTGTCCTATAAGATATAGATACAACACAGCACACAACAGTGTCCTACAAGATATAGATACAACACAGCACACAACAGTGTCCTATAAGATATAGATACAACACAGCACACAACAGTGTCCTGTAAGATATAGATACAACACAGCACACGACAGTGTCCTATAAGATATAGATACAACACAGCACACGACAGTGACCTATAAGATATAGATACAACACAACACACAACAGTGTCCTATAAGATATAGATACAACACAGCACACAACAGTGTCCTGTAAGATATAGATACAACACAGCACACAACAGTGTCCTGTAAGATATAGATACAACACAGCACACGACAGTGTCCTATAAGATATAGATACAACACAGCACACGACAGTGTCCTATAAGATATAGATACAACACAGCACACAACAGTGTCCTACAAGATATAGATACAAGACAGCACACAACAGTGTCCTATAAGATATAGATACAACACAGCACACAACAGTGTCCTATAAGATATAGATACAACACAGCATACAACAGTGTCCTACAAGATATAGATACAACACAGCACACAACAGTGTCCTATGAGATATAGATACAACACAGCACACAACAGTGTCCTATAAGATATAGATACAACACAGCACACGACAGTGTCCTATAAGATATAGATACAACACAGCACACGACAGTGTCCTATAAGATATAGATACAACACAGCACACAACAGTGTCCTACAAGATATAGATACAAGACAGCACACAACAGTGTCCTATAAGATATAGATACAACACAGCACACAACAGTGTCCTATAAGATATAGATACAACACAGCACACAACAGTGTCCTACAAGATATAGATACAACACAGCACACAACAGTGTCCTATAAGATATAGATACAACACAGCACACAACAGTGTCCTATAAGATATAGATACAACACAGCACACAACAGTGTCCTATAAGATATAGATACAACACAGCACACAACAGTGTCCTATAAGATATAGATACAAGACAGCACACAACAGTGTCCTATAAGATATAGATACAACACAGCACACGACAGTGTCCTACAAGATATAGATACAAGACAGCACACAACAGTGTCCTATAAGATATAGATACAACACAGCACACGACAGTGTCCTATAAGATATAGATACAAGACAGCACACAACAGTGTCCTATAAGATATAGATACAACACAGCACACGACAGTGTCCTACAAGATATAGATACAAGACAGCACACAACAGTGTCCTATAAGATATAGATACAACACAGCACACAACAGTGTCCTATAAGATATAGATACAACACAGCACACAAGAGTGTCCTATAAGATATAGATACAACACAACACACAACAGTGTCCTATAAGATATAGATACAAGACAGCACACAACAGTGTCCTATAAGATATAGATACAACACAGCACACAACAGTGTCCTATAAGATATAGATACAACACAGCACACAACAGTGTCCTACAAGATATAGATACAACACAGCACACAACAGTGTCCTATAAGATATAGATACAGCACAGCACACGACAGTGTCCTATAAGATATAGATACAACACAGCACACAACAGTGTCCTATAAGATATAGATACAAGACAGCACACAACAGTGTCCTATAAGATATAGATACAACACAGCACACGACAGTGTCCTATAAGATATAGATACAACACAGCACACGACAGTGTCCTATAAGATATAGATACAACACAGCACACGACAGTGTCCTATAAGATATAGATACAACACAGCACACAACAGTGTCCTACAAGATATAGATACAAGACAGCACACAACAGTGTCCTACAAGATATAGATACAACACAGCACACAACAGTGTCCTATAAGATATAGATACAACACAGCACACAACAGTGTCCTACAAGATATAGATACAAGACAGCACACAACAGTGTCCTATAAGATATAGATACAACACAGCACACAACAGTGTCCTACAAGATATAGATACAACACAGCACACAACAGTGTCCTATAAGATATAGATACAACACAGCACACAACAGTGTCCTACAAGATATAGATACAAGACAGCACACAACAGTGTCCTATAAGATATAGATACAACACAGCACACGACAGTGTCCTATAAGATATAGATACAACACAGCACACAACAGTGTCCTATAAGATATAGATACAACACAGCACACAACAGTGTCCTACAAGATATAGATACAAGACAGCACACAACAGTGTCCTATAAGATATAGATACAACACAGCACACAACAGTGTCCTACAAGATATAGATACAAGACAGCACACAACAGTGTCCTACAAGATATAGATACAACACAGCACACAACAGTGTCCTATAAGATATAGATACAACACAGCACACAACAGTGTCCTATAAGATATAGATACAACACAGCACACAACAGTGTCCTATAAGATATAGATACAACACAGCACACAACAGTGTCCTATAAGATATAGATACAACACAGCACACAACAGTGTCCTATAAGATATAGATACAACACAGCACACAACAGTGTCCTATAAGATATAGATACAACACAGCACACAACAGTGTCCTATAAGATATAGATACAACACAGCACACAAGAGTGTCCTATAAGATATAGATACAACACAGCACACAACAGTGTCCTATAAGATATAGATACAACACAGCACACAACAGTGTCCTATAAGATATAGATACAACACAGCACACAAGAGTGTCCTGTAAGATATAGATACAACACAGCACACAACAGTGTCCTATAAGATCAAATCGTGGCAAGGTGCC